TGAGATGGCTCTTACTCTTGTGAGATCTTGCATCTTCTGCTGCAAGGTGATATATTCAACAGGAAGCCCACTCCAAACCTGTTTATAGGCTGGTGTTCAGGCCACTGTGTTTGTAACTTGTCTGGACCCTCTTCTGGCTGCTTACATTTCAGGCAAGAGCTTTTATCACTAAATATTGTGTAAAGAGTAGATAGCCTTGTGACTATTTTGAGAAACACTCATCTGTACTTAAATCCACAAGATACAGCTTGACATTCTTCCTGGATTGGATTTTAATCTCTTAAATGCCTATTGCAACCTCTAGATGGTTGAATAAAGTCCAGAGAAATGGCAGAATGTCCTATAAACTCTTCTTATCTTTGTGGCTAGATCAGGAGATAGGAAGCCCTCACTGCTACACGGGGTGTTGCAGATCTGATGCTTTGATGTGAAACTCTTCCTTTACTTTGCAAAGGATACAAGTGTCTTGAACTGTAACTTCTCCAGCTAGTATATAGACTGCTCCAGCTGTCACTGCTGAAGTCTCTTGGTGAATCTGGACCCAAACTGCCTGCAGAACAACTAACATGATACATTTATGCATCTGCTGTCTGTTGTACATGAAGGGGAAAAAAGTTATCCTTTCCTGCCTGTACATTTTGTATTATTCCTAGTCTTGCTTTTTTTTCAGTTGTGTGGGGTTGTTTCTCTGGAATCTGCAGCCCTCCTGGGTTGCACTTTGGCAGGAATACATTCATAGATTCGTAGAATGGTTTGGGTTGCAAGGGACATTAAAACTCATCCAGTTCCAACCTCCTTACCATGGGCAGGGACACCTTCCACCAGACCAGGTTGCTCAAAGCCCCATCCAACCTGGCCTTGAACACTTCCAGGGATGGGGCAGCCACAGCTTCTCTGGGCAACCTCTGCCACTGCCTCACCACCCTCACCATGAAGAATTTCTCCCTTATATCTAATCTAAATCTTCCTTCTTCCAGTTTAAAGCCATTGCCCCTTGTCCTGTCACTCCCTGCCCTTGTCAAAAGTCCCTCCCTGGCTTTCTTGTCGGCCCCTTTAGGTACGGGAAGGCTGCTCTAAGGTCTGCCCGGAGCCTTCTCTTCTCCAGGCTGAACAACCCCAACTCTCGCAGCCTGTCCAGGTTATCACTTGTTCATGGGGAATTAGTTCTCGTGAACATAGGATGATGTGCCCTTTGACCTAGGGAAGTGTCTTGAATGATATCTGGCTTTGTGAATATATGCACATCTTGGAATTTGGGTAAATTCCCCAAACCTACCATTTCATTGTAAGGTTTCTAATAACTCAGTACAGAGCAAAATACCTTGTTTTGCTGCATTTTGTTCTTAAAGCTGAAAACACAGCGATCTGTTTTATTTCCTGTGCTGTTTCTTAAGGAAGATTCAGCAAACCTAGAGGAAATGTGAAAAAGTTTCTTAGCTAAGATGTAAGATAAACAGAATCTAATCAAATAAGTAATACCGAGAGTTCATTTACTTTCTGAATCAAGGCAGAAAGCACTAAGCTGGAGAAAGGGGAGGGGAAAACAAACCATCCCCAGTATGTCTGCAGTGCACATTGCCTAAGTCAAGTTCACAAGTACCCTGCCTCAGATTCTTGTGTTTGTCATATTACATCATTTTAAAAATAAATGGTTGATTGTGTAGGGGTTGGCTAAAGTATTTTAAAGTCTCTGGTCAGTAAAGGACTTGAGGGCTAGTCTCCAAGACCACATATAGAGCACTTACTAGCATCTGTGGCACATACTGCTTTCTGTTTTGTCACCTCTGTTAAGAATGCTCCAAACCTTTGCAAACAAAGCTGCAAATACTATGCGGAGTTTGCGTTAAAGAGTTCTGAAACGGCAGTTGAAATCTAAGAAGCGAGTCGATGGTTTTGTTGCTAGCTGCATGTGTGGCACTTACCTGTCCACAACTGTAAGTTCTAAAAAGCAACTTTTCCTTAAGGTAATTTGAGTTTTTTATGGAAGAGAAAGAAGCCTTACACATGTATTAAGGGGCAGCCTGGGAGGAGGTAAGATGGGAGAGGAAATTAAAGAGCAGTAGTACTCCACTGCCTTCCCATGGGGATGCTTACTTTTCACAGAGGGACTTTTTGCAATCTACCTTGCCCTATTTACAAAGGGGAGCAAAAAAAGAAAAATAATGTGGAAAAGGATCCACACTAGGGACTACTTATAACTGCTATTCCAAGGTTTTCCTCTGCAAGACATCCCAAAATGTATCAGGCCTTGAGCAGAAGGAGTTTCTTTTAAGTGGAGTTAGTGAAGGAGGCTAATGCTGACAGCAGTTGAATCTTGGAGTTATATATTCAGCAGATCAGCTGTTTTTTATTGTGTTTTTTTTAAAAAAAAAATTTGGAAGGAAAATGCACTGGTTGCTTAAGTTAATGTACAACATGCTATTTGCATATAGGATGGTGATTATATTTGGATAAGGATTAAGCCGATGAAGGAAAATTCACATAACACGCCCCAGATGATGTAAAGTGGATGTTCCAAATTATAGAACCTGAGACAGTGTAAGTGGTCTGTGGAACTGTATTAAATAGTAAAATCAAACTTGTAAATTAAGCTTGATTAGTTCATGTTCCTCAAGAAACCGAGGTTGACGCTTGTCCAAAAAGTTTTGGAATGATTGGCACAGAAAAGCAGAAGATCTGGCAAGAATAATCTTCTGCAAAAGCAAATTTAGTGTGTTTTTTCTCCTTTTTGCAGCTGTCAGGGAAGTCCACTGTTGGAAGAAGTCTCTCTTAGAGGAATCGGCCATTATTACTCACTTTTGAAGAGTTTATGATGGCCCAGTACAGGCCATAAATACATAAATATACGGTCAACAGTAATAATTCATAAAGTACGGTTTGGTCCTATAAAATGGTGTTAACAGTACAAATTAACGTAATGTGGTGGCTTCTTGGGTGATTGACTCTTCAAACCGTAGAGCTTTGTGAATGTTCCTACACGGTCTTACCGGTTTTCAGTAAAGCTGTCCTTGGGGGTGTCTTCTGTAGTTCATACAGCATTTAACAGGGTTTTAGCACTTTAGGATACAAGTAGTTGGCCAAACGGAGCCCAGAGTTGTGATAAAATAATTGCTTTAGCCTTTGGTTAAACATCTGTATTGCTTGTGAGCATGCCTGACAGCTGTTATTTATCCTTTCCTTCTTTTATAGTGATCGACACCATACATCCAGTGCAATTCCTGTTCCAAAGAGACAGAGCTCTAGCTTCGGCAGACTGGATATTGGCTTTTCCAGTGGGCTTCCTTCTCCGGATAAAGGACTCCGAAAACGAGCCAGCACGGGAAATGAAAGACTACAGTACAAAACTCCTCCTCCTAGTTACAACTCTGCTTTAACACAGCCTGTTGCCATCGCAGCCCATGTAGGAGAGTTAGATAAAAAACCTGGATCGATATCTTCTTCCTTGGATACCTCTATGGACTCCTCAAAAGGAAATACCAAGAAAGGCGAGGACTTATGCAGCAGTTTAAATGGAGAAAACGGGAGCCTAAACAATACCCAAGACCGGCAGGAGTCTTTCCTAGGACATAGTAGTGCAATAAATGGGGCGTTTCTGCCCGGCGAGTGCTCTGGCACTGCAAGCAACGAGCAGCCCTGTGAGTTTCGACCCTCGCTTGGCCCTGTCCTTTGCTGCACTGTGGAGCAAGCAGAGGAGATCATGGGGATGGAAGCGACAGGGTTCAGCACAGGAGATCAGCTAGAAGACTTTAACTCCATCCCGGTGGAACATGCTGTGGCAGTGGAGTGTGATGAACAAGTCCTAGGGGAGTTTGAGGAGTTCTCTCGAAGGATCTATGCACTGAATGAAAACATGTCCAGCTTCCGCAGACCGCGTAAAAGTTCGGACAAGTGAGCTTGGACAGGGATTTGATCGCAGACATTGAGGTGAAATCAGTGATCTGGAATAGAGATAAAATTGCACTTATTCTTTATATTAATTATAAAAACAAAAAGCTAAAGCTATTCCTATGGTGTTAGACAAATGGACTTGAGCACGGTAACACAGGATCATGGTATATTCACAGCCCAGGTAAATTTTGATTCTGCTTCCAGTCCTCTTATGTCTGGTGTTTATAATATGTCAAAAAGTTGTTGTTTTATTTTGGCATTGGAATCCATTTATAAAGGCTTTCCTGGAAACAACTTCTAGTGCTGATCAGGCCCTTCTATGAATATTTGTTAATTTCTTAATTATTATTTAGAGTTAAATTTATTTTAATCTTTTCAGAAGAAAAAAAAAGATAATTTAAAACTTGCATTTATGGTAAGACTTCTTTATCTTCTCCCATGTACTCCTGTGTTTTCTTGAGCAATGTAGTCAGTGTTGCAGAAATACCATGAATTTGTTATAATTCGACAGCTTTCTCTTGGCTGTGCTCTGTAGCCTTTGAAGTTCTAGTTTGCACTGATGGGTCTTCAGTTGGCGGTGTAAACTTGCCAGAGAATGAGCACCTGTGTGATATCTGCAGTTTCCTTGCACCTGATTAATCAGAAATGACTTTTTTTTTATTTCCTGCCCCCTCCTTTCCTCCATACTCACTCTTCCTACCAGTAGAAGCCTGGAGGACTAAATTACCTCTCAGGTTTCATATAAAAGCCTCAGCCTGACCATTTCCCACTTTGGTTGGGCGCAGACCTCATCAGCAGAGACCTAACGAATGTGGTACCGAAGTGGGGTTCACCTGCCACCCTCCGAGGTGTCTCATGGGGAGAGCGTGCTGTGAGACACCTCGCAGACATCTTCATGAAAACCCAGACTGAAAATGCAGTCAGCACTTTGGAATTAGGTGAATTTGTGGAA